AAAATTTTCTGATGGGGAAGCTGATGTAAATTGGGAGAAGGAGGCTGAGTCATCTTGTCCTATGTACAATGTTTCTTGTATCTTGTATCTTATTCAATAAATGTCTCTATTTTTCATAGTACATGGTTGGATACTTTCTGGACATACCTCATATTCTTACAATCTTTACATTTCTGTGGTGTCAATGGTTACTTCTTTTTAATTTCTGATTATATTTAATGGATTCTCTCTCTTTACCCTTCATGAGTCTGTTCCCATGCAAACTGTTCTCCTTATATTAACAATGGCTGGGCTTTTTGCAGACAAATCTTAAAGGTTCATCAATCTTGTTTATCTTTTCAATGAACCAATCTTGGTTTCATTAATCTCTTGTATATGTCATTTTTAGTCTCTATATCATTTAGTTCTTCTCTAATTTTTATCATGTACTCCCTTCAAGTTTTTAACCTTGTTTCTGGTTAATTTTCTAGATCATTTGGGTCTAAGATTAAATTGTTTATTTGAGATCATTCTTGCTGTTGAGGTAGGCTTGCATTGCTATGAATATTCCTCTTAGGACTGCTTTTTCTGTGTCTCATAGTTTCGGGCTATTGTGTGCTCATTTTCATTTGTCTCAGGAAACTTCTGATTTCTTTCTTAATTTCATTGTTGATACATTTTTTGTTAAGTAACATTATTTATTCCTCATGTGTTTGTGTGTTTTTCAGTTTTTTCTTGTAATTGATTAGTACTTTTATACTATGTTGGTTGGAAAAGCTGCTTGACATGATTTCAAACTTCACCAATTTATTGAGTCTTGTTTTGGATTCTAACAAGTGATCTATCCTAGAAAATGTTCCATGTGAACCTGAAAAAAATGTATTTTCTGTGATTTGTAGTGAAATGCTCTGAAGAGAAATTAAATTCATGTAGTCTCATTTGTCAAGTCCACCATTTCTTTGTTGATTTTCTGTCTGCAAGATTTATTTATTGACGTCAATGGCATGTTAGAATCCCCTACTATGACTGCATTACTGTCAAATTCTCCTTTGATGTCCATCAAAATGCCTCTATATTGGGGTGCATATGTTGGTGCTTACAAGGTGTATTTAGGTGCACATGTTTGGTACTTAAAAGGATTTTACACTCTTGTGTGACTGCCCTTTATCATTTGTCATTATGTAGTGTCCTTTTTTCAACAGATAATATAGCTTTGCTCCAAAAATCCTAAGGGCATTTGCTGTAAATCACCTTTAAGGGAATGATAAATGTTCTAAACAGTATCCTTATCTGCTCTGACACTTTATGCATACTGAGAGCTGCTGCATCTTATATTCAAATGTCAGAAAAGCTTAGACAGCAACCTGGCCCTATTGCAAAATGTTCTCTTGTTGTGGGATCCAGTCAAAAACGTCAGTTTTTCAGATGCTTGATGAGTGAGCCAGAGAAACATCTTAAACAAAGTTTATGTTGCCTTTAAAAATCAAAGATACCCACTGGGTATTGTGCCACTTTTTCAGTCGTAGTTAGAGTCAGATGCAACAGCTTTTTCTTCACCCTATAAGGGATTTATCAACATGCCTCACATCAATGGGCCTCTAGAAATTTCAGTGAAGTAGAAGATCCCTGAATATTTGTCGGAGTTATTTCCCACCTTCTGACATGCAGACATCTAAAATAAATCTAGAGTAGTTGCTACTCCTTATTCATTAGGTCTAGTATGCATAGAATCAGTGCAATAAACCAGTGTGATATTTCACGAAAGGGAAAAGCAATAAAAATACTTGCAAAATAAATTATAACATAGGCTTATGAGTTGATATATCCCTGATCTAGGACAGTGGAGGTCTATGGTTGGCCTTTGACAGCTCAAAGCAAACTGCCTCCGTTTGTCTTTTCCAACACATAGAGAGAAGAGGTATTGCCAGATTAATAGCTATACAGTTGTCCCTCACTATATCATGATTCACTTATTGCAGCTTCACTGTATCGCAGGGTTTTTAAAACACATATATCTAATTCTGTATCATGGAGTTTTTGCTATAGCATGGGATTTTGCAGTATATAAGTATTTATATAATATTTATGATTTTAATTATTTTTGCTCAAAAATTTAAAACAATATAAAAATGTTAATTCAAACATATTAAAAGCATATTAAATCAAAATAAAATACAGTATGTATTTCATCAGGAGATGAATACAGTACTGTATACAATGTAAATGCAGTACACAACTACTGCTTGCACAAGTTTGCCAACCTGAGATTGTACATGGCACACTACTGGCTGATGGAATGAATGGAAGACAAACAACCACAGCACTGTGTTCTGTATCCTGGGAGTGGATTGGCTCAGTGACAGTAGCATCAGTCTGTTTTCTCTCCTGCAATGGTCCCATATATTCAGCATCTCTCAATGTCCACTTCACATCGACCTCTGATTGCTGCACATAGTGTTGCTCTGTGGTGTTGTGTTTTCGTGAGATTTTCATAAAAGTTTGAATTTATTTCAAGCACTACAATGCCACCCAAATGTGCTGCACCTTCTAAGGCTTTTGGCAGTGAACCCAAGCACCAGAGGAATATGCTTATCATCAAAGAAAAGGTAGAACTTTGTGACATGTTAAAGGAGGGCAAAAACTACGCAGCTGTAGGCCACCATTATGGGATCAATGAATCTACTGTTCACTACATAAAGAAAGATGAAAGAATATTAAGTCTATGGCAACAATGACTTTTAGCAAGACTGCAGAATGTGGTCACTTCCCGCAATAAGGCCATTGTGAGGATGGAGTCAGCATTGGCCCTGTGAATAAATGACTGCAGGAAGAATATCTCGATGGATACCAACACCTTCCAGATGAAGGCCAGGAAACTTTATGATAGTTTTGTGGAAAGTATGGACATTTACAAACGGTGATGAGGATGAAGAAGAGGATGATGATGTAGAAGCAGGGCCATGGAGTGCTTCTCCCACCAGACCAACCCCATTCAGTGTCAGCAAAGAATGGTTTGACAAATTTCAGAGATGCTTTGGACTCAAGAGCATTTCTCTGCATGGAGAAGTTGCCTCTGCAGATAAAAAGCAGCACCAGAAACTCCCCATAATTGCATTCATCTCTCAGACAAAGAGATCAGCTATGCCTACACCTTTAGCATAAATGGAAGTTATGTCCCAGAGCAAAGATACTGCACTACCTGATGAAGTGCCTAATGCAGTGGTGCCTTTAGAAGAGCTGTAATGCTCTTCTTGGCTGTGCAGTACATTCATCTCATCAGCATCACCTTCGTGGCCATCAGTACTGCACAGTTACATATTTCATGATCTTCATCAGTCAAGTTGTAATATATTTCACTGGTGAGTACCCATATAGAATTTTACATATTGTTAAATTTATGTGGGTTTAAGAATGTAGAAAGTGTTTAAGAGCATATGAAGTGTTTATAAGAGTGTGGTAAATATTAATAAGAGAGTTAGAAAGGTTTACAGGAATGTGGGAAGGGCTTACAAAGCCTTAAACATGTATAAATGATAAAATAAATATAATGCTGCTACTTTGCAGATTTTCACCTATCGTGGGGGTCTCTGGAATGAAAATCCCACAATAGGTGAGGGATCATAGTATACCAGGTACAATGAGATCTGTTAATTTCCCCAAGAAATAAAACTACATCTGATACAGTAACTGAAATTGGAGTCACTGTATTGTTGAGTTTATGGTAATTCACTCTTCTTTTCCAAGATCCATCTGTCTTCTGCAAAGGCCCAGTGAATTAGTTCAATAAGGATATCATGGAAATCACCACCTCTAAATATTTTAAGTCCCTAAAAGTGGTACTAACCTTTGCAATCCCTCCATTAATGATGTTTTGTTCTTGATTTACTATTTTCCTAGGTAAAAGTAGTTCTAATGGCTTCATGTGGTCTTTTTCACCACAACAGCCCTTAATCCACAGGGAACCAATGTGGGGATTCTGCTAATTGTTGGGTATGTATATTCTAATTAAGTATTCCAGAACTGGGGAATATCCACAGAATGTGTTCAGTAAAATAGGCCTGAGATAAAGCTCCATTGACCACTTGACTTGTATAGCCCCTCATTCTGACTGATGGGCTACAGAGACATTTTAGATCTCCTGGAATTTGTATCAGTTCAGAGTTATTATTTAGTTATCTCTGAAATGTCTGTTTGTTTACTTATCCCCAATTCAAAGTCAACATAATAAAAGGTCATAGTTTTCCCCAGGAAAGACTAAGAAAAATATTAAGTATATAAGTTCTTTTTTTTCATGTAAATATAGACAAATTTATTTTCAAATAAAACAACAAATATTTCTGCTCAGCAGTTCCTTGGTCTTCAGTACATCCTGTTCCAACCTTACTCCCACTCCCCCCACCAGCACTAGCCTGTCAGGCTTGTTAGGTTTTTCACATCACAAAGGTCATATAACTTCCTCTCTATGGAGATAGTATCGTAATGTCTCCTTCCTCCGCACAATTTTGTTATCTTTATCCATTCAAGAATTCACTCTTTTTTATTATCACCCACAAATTTCTGTCAGCTGAAAGTGACATCCTAGTTTTCCAGGAAGTCCCTTATATGTGATAGTTCTAGTTCTAAGGGACAAATGCCAAACTCTTCCTTCATGTGACATTAAATCAGGTTCAAAGCCCCACACACAAAGATGGACTTTACAATTCTACTTTTTGTATATGACCAACAAAATAGCTTTAAAATTACATTGAAAAAAAATCAGCGATTCTTACCAAATGAAGAATAGTTTTTATGAAAAATGAAGGATCCAATCATCTGAGCTTGATTAAGACTTATAATTAGGTCACTGCCTCAGTTGATTTCAAATTCTCAGGTCAAAGTCATCAAGAACTTTTGCTGTTTGGCTTTCAAAATGGGATGCATCATCAAATGGTCCCATTTTTGCAAAATTTTTTTTAGAGACAAATGCCTTTTCCTCCTGCCTCTGTCTCTGCTACTTTGAGCCTGTCCTTGCTTTAGTAACATTAGGCTTTTTGTGCTGAACGGGTACTTTGACGTCAAATCAGGGATGAACTCCAACTGTATGCCTTCCCACATTTACTAGATGCATAGGGTTTTGTTATACCCAGCTAGGAAAATTACAGCTAGGGCATTACCCAACCCTAAATCTGCAGTTCCTGGAACAGGGTAATGAACAAACATCCGGGAACAATTGGGTTTAAAATTCTAGCCAAATAAGGTAACTAACCCGGGCCCGCCAGAAAGTGCCCGCCAGCAGCAGCACCCACCAATCAGGGACCCTCGCCGTTTTTTAAATAAGCCAATAGCTAACTGCCACTTCTGCTTCTGTATGCCTTTGCTTGCTTGCTAGAAAATATAAATACCCAGTAGTCTGTAAGCCAGGCACAACTTCCATTTTGTAGCTCTGAGTAGCTATGTGACTCTGGTCACAGTTGGGGAAGTTCGCCCCTGCGCAGGAAAATCTTTGGCCATTAAAATTTTTATCAATTCGGTTCCAGACTCCGAGAGTGTGTATTTACCTGCCGATCGTCTACAACAGTTTCTCTGAAGAATGACTTTCTGATATCAGATAAGGTCTGAGCCACTGCTGAAGGCCTTCTCACACTTGTTACATTCATAGGTTTTCACTCCAGTATGACTTCTTTCATGTAGAATAAGGGATGTGCATTGATTAAAGGCCTTCTCGCATGTTTTACATGTGTATGGTTTCTCTCTAGTGTGAATTCTTTCGTGTTGGGTGAGGTGTGCACTCTGGCTGAAGGCGTTTCCACACTGACCATATTGACATGGTCTGTCTTCAGCATGTATTCTCTGATATCGAGTAAGAGATACTCAATGGCTGAAGGCCTTCCCACATTCCTCACATTGGTAGAGTTTTTCTCCAGTATGAATTCTCTGATGTTTAATAAGAAATTATTGGTGACCAAACACTTTACCACATTTATTGCATTTGAAAGGTTTCTCTTCAGAATGAAGGTTCTGATGAATTTTAAGGTTGGCAGTTTCAGAAAACTGGCAGTTTCAGAAAATATCTTCCCACATTCCTGACATTCAAACAGTTCCTTTTTCCTTATATGAATTTTCTGGTGTTGAAGGGATGAGTGCCAAATATAGACCTCACATTTGTTCCATCTGTACAGTTTCTCTCCATTATGAATTTTTAGATGTAGAATAAGGGTTGAAAGCCGCCTGAAGACCTTCTGACATTTATCACATATGTAGGGTTTTTCTGAAGCATGAACTCTCTGATGAAGCAAAATGGATGAAATTGTATTAAAGGATTTTCCGCATTTTCTACATGTATAAGGATTCTCTGAAAGGTCACTTCCCTGCTGACTTAAGGCCTCTCACCCTCATGGGTTTTCTTTCCAATGTGAATTCTTTTATGTACAAGGACTGACCTCTTACTTCAGCCTTTTGCACATTTATTGCACTTACTTATTCTTTTCATTTTGAGTCTTCCTATGAAGTAAAAAGGATAACTTTGAATGAAGGCTTTCCCACACTTTCTGCACCAGGGAGTATTCGCCACAAAGCAGTTTTTCTGCTGTAGACTGAGGGATGGGCACTGACTCAAGGCTTCCCCACAGCCAAAGGTTTTCTTTCCATCATGAACTTTCTCATGGAGATTCAGGGTCATTCTTTGAATGAAGCTTTACTCACACTTACCACATTCATGGCTTTTCCTTCCACTCTATTCTGAATTCTCTGATGAAGGATGAGGGCTGAGGCCTGTCTGAGGCTTTTCTACAATTACTACATTCATAAGGCTTCTCTTCAGTATGAGAATTCTGATGGAGTTTAAAATATAAACTTCGACTAAAGATTTTCCCACTGTCATTACCTTTTAAAGAATTCTTCCCTGGATGCACTTTCTCGGGTTTTATTAGGACTGAATTTTTCTTGCAGCCTCTCTTTCCTGGAGGATCTTTTGTGCTACAGAAACTGGTTTCTGATAGATGTGTTGCTTAGGTTTGTTGCAATGATTTGGATGTAACTTCTTGGTCTTACATTTAGACCTTGAGTCCAGGCCCCTGTGTCTTCTCTGGCTCCATCAGCTGAAGTGCTGTGCCCTTCTCCAGCAAGATGATCACGTTTGGCCTCCGATAAGAAAGTCCTAGACTGAAGCAGCTTCTGTATTTCAGGACAGACTGACTGGTTCCTGTCCCTCAAAGGACAGCTGTGGATTGCGGGGAGCCTCATGGAGAGAGACCAGGTGCTGGCAGGTCTCCAGCATGACGTCAGTACAGATCCTTGTGCATGAGGGCTCAGTTTCTCCCACTCCTCCAGGAGGAAGTGGATGGCCAAGTCTCCAAACATCAATGGTGCCTGTGCCTCAGCAGGTCCCGCCTGGGCAGGCATCTCCATCGTGGGAAATCAGAGGCTGTCACCTTCCCTTGGCCTTGGCCTTTCCTCCTGCAGCAGGCTGTGGAGCGACCACTTTTGAGAGGTGCCCTCAGTGCCACGGACATGCATGAGTGAATAAATATGGCTGAGACAAGATGAGATCTGTTTGGGGATGGAGAAGTGGGCTGTGGCCAGTTTCTCTGGGGAGAAAGAGGCCAGCAGTGGCCAGTTTCTCCAAGGAGAAAAAGGCCTCAAGCGCCCCCCTTCATAGCCTTTTATTGGGTTGTAATACACAGGAATACAGGGTGGCAAGGATCAAACAGTAGATAACATTACAAAGAGATCTGAGTCAGTGACTGTCAGGAAGAGAGTTGCAGAAACTTTGGGAGACATACTCATTTCCTCTCAGACCCTTATCATATGAATGAAAGCACTTTTAGCAGATTTCACAGGTTCATCAGCAAGTCTTTGTGATGCCAGATTTTCCCCCAGGACACACTCTAGCAAGGCAAGGAGCTGCACCTTCCCCATCAGGTATTCGGGCTTAAGGGGATTAGAGCCAGGAAGTACTTCTCCCAGAGGACAATGGGACTCGGGCTTTGACAAAGCCAGAGGGTGGGGGAGGGCATGAGAGTCCATTGCTCTCTGTTGCAGCCCCTGAGTCCTTCCATGAAAGCCTCCCAGGTGGTCGAGTCTGGCTTAGGTTGCTCCCCACTGTGAGGATTCTTACCTGTCATTGACTTCTGACCAAGCTTTGGGGGCAGGGAGAGGAACTGAGGCAGCGTTTGCTACCAGAGACAGGCTTTGTCTCCTGTGGCTGGCACTCCAAAGGTCGTCTCTCGCCCTTAGCCACAAGGGGTAGAGATACAATTCCTAAAACTAGGCAGAGCAGTCTACAACAGCAGGCATCCCTTTTTCCCCTCCAAGGATCCTCACCTGAGGAGGGGCAGCAAGCTGGGAAGGTGGGGCTGTTCTTTCAAGCCGGGGTAGCCTCTCCGCCAATCGGAATCCTTTTTCCAACCTGGCTCCACCTCATTCTTCTGGCTCCAGTGTCTTGCTGTCTCCACAGCAACCCTTTGGCTGTGGGCTGGGAAAAAAGCAACCCACAGACTTGTGGGTGTTCTAGGCTCAAAGGGGCAGAGAAACGGGAGATGCACTTGATCATGAAAAACAGATTGTGACCAAACACTTACATCCAGAGACGACTTCGTGCTTAGAAAAAGCTTCTAAATGCTGTTGCCATCTGTTATTTGCTGGGGAAGCAAAAAGGGAAGCATATAAATTGTTGGCATAATGCAAGGTCCTTCCTCAAAAGGATTCTACCTAACCTTTTAAAAAGAATCTGCATGTCTATAAACTGAACTAACTTTGGGAAAGGACTTGAAGGGCAAAGAGTCTCTGTTTTTGTTATTCAGATCAGAATGTTATTTATTTGACCTGAAACTCTTTCATTTATACAGATAAAGTAAGAATTTAGTAGATGTAATATCTCATTCACTTCTAGGAACACCATGATCAATGAGTTGACAACATAGACCTTTGTGTGTCAGACTTTGTGTTTTATTGTTCCTATGACTCAGTTGTCTCCATGGGAATGATGCCCATCTTGCCATATGGACCCTGCCACCAGAGGATCCAATATACTCATTAAATTGTATTTCACATTTCACTCAGTGGCAGCAGTTCCCACCTTAATTTCAGGCTAGGGAAAAGAAACATTACAGATCTCTTCCAGAATTCTGGGGCTACTGTCACAAATTTATTCCTCAAAGTAAGAAGAAAAGATATGTCTTCTGGACCTTCCTGGGTGAGTGAGCATGTCTTACACTTCAACATTCTAATCTCCCTAACCCTCAAGTCTAGTATTTTAAGTTTACTTACCATGAGCCACCTTTGCTCCATGTTTCAATAACCAATCATACTGCTAGAGCACTATCTAACTTCCCGATCTGCAACATTAAATCCAGAATCTCTGCTTAGTGGACCCATATCAATAATAAATCCAACCTGATACAACTTTATGTTCTCTCCACCATTATTCAATACTCTTGGCATCTGTCACTACATGTATTTCTTAGATTTATGTCTCTATAAATTAAAAAACTCAAGTAGAGTTGACTCTTGAACAATGTGGGTTTGAATTGAGTGGGTCCACTTATACACACACACATATAAGTGGGCTCACACAGTTCAAATCTACTTTGTTCAAGTGTCAACTGTGGTTTTGAACCATGGCAGGGAAAATGCACATGCAGAGGGTTGACTTTAGTTATATACCAATTTTTGACTGTGTGGCTGGTTGCCCCTATGCCTTGCATTGCATCATTCATGGGTTAGCTATAGTTCTTTTGGAATGTAGGACACCTCTGCATGAGTCACACTGTATACCTCACTTTTCAGTGTCTGCTGAAACTCTACTTTTAGATGTAGAAGAAGGAGAGTTGGTGTGGTTTGTCCTAATGAGAATCAGTAGTGTCTTGCAAGACACTATCTAAGGGGAAACCACAGTTTCCTCAGGATAAACAAGGCTCATCTTCTTAGACAGGAGTAGAGCATCTTCTTCTAATGGCAAAGAAGATTCATCAAATTTAGGGACTCAATTTTGGAGTCCTTCCATATGTCCACATTTTAACTTCCTAGAACTCATGTATTCCCAGTCAGTGCTTTCATTTTAATGATAGATATGCAGTGAGGTTGAAAATTCAATTTGTATTATAATTCAGTTTCTTAGTAATCTCAGCTATGTTACTATGGTAGATAAAGGTCTTTTTCAGGGAAGACATAAAAGTTTTCAGTTATTTTATATAGTACTTCATGTAGGAATTAGAATCCTTGGAATTTTCTTTTTCTTTTTCCACTTTGTCCAATAACATAGTAACAAAAAGACAACCTCATTATACTCATTAATTTTACAAAAATGTTCAAAGTTATGTGTGTTATGTGTGTGTTATGTACCACTGAGTCAGCTCTAACTTCTCGTAACCCTATAAATGAATGATGTCCACAATGCCCTGTTCTTAACAGCCCTAATCCACTTTTATAGAATTATGCTTGTGGGTTATTTTTATGGAGTTTGTCCATCTCTTACCTGTTCTTCCAGTTCCATGCTGTTTTCTATTTTTCCTAACATTATTTTCTTTTCCAAAGAAACCTGCCTTCTTACGATGTATCTAAACTACAAAAGCTTCAAATTTGTCACTGTTCTAGGACCCAGTTATTTGTTTTTCTGGAGGTCTAGAATATCTGTAGAGCTCTCCTCCATACTATATTTCAAGTGAATTATTTTTTTCTCTTACCATTCTTCACTGTCCAACTTTTGCATCCATACAAGTAATTGGCAATACAAAGATGTAGATAATCTTAGCTTGGTCTGTAATGACACACTTTTGCTCTTGATGATCTTTCCTAATTCTTCCATTTCTGCCCTTTTGAGGGTGTATTATGTGCATCGTGTTATGTGTTTTGTTTAGCACTTCTCGGTCTTTAGACACAACCTCTGATTGCATAAAAATGTCTCTGGGTACGTAGTACATGTTAGAAGTCAGAGAGGTGTTAATACACACACACCAGGAAAGTCACTTGGTAAAGTGAATAGTAACTTAAAAGCTCTGGCTATTCAATATTTAGCTTTATTTTCTACTTTAAGGCTTAAAATTCTCACAATAGCCACATTGCCTATATCTTAAGGACCTTGAAAATAACTTTTTCCAGGGGTAGTAGTGTAAATTAGAATCCCTGAGAGATCAGTTTTTAAATGTGCATGTCAATTTCCATATCACCATTCTCTAGATATTTTACCAGTGCATGAGTGTTAGAGAGTGGAAAATGCAAGTAAAATAAGTATACTAAAAAAAGCATCCTCCAGAGATTTTTCATTCTCTCTGCCCAATTCTATTTCCATTCTCAATTGAGACCACAGATTCTGCTAAATACTGATCATGTCCAGTAAGAATAATTGGTTGCTGCCCTGTGGTTTGAATTAGGAACAAACTGTAAGGAAAATTTAGGTCACATGTCTCCAATTCTCACACTTTTATTCTAATCTTTTAACAGGAATTATCTTCAATTCATGATTTGAAATTGGAAATATATTGTATCAGTTGTAGTCATTATAATTTGAATAATGATTAGTTTCTATATTTCCAAAGATGGACTAACACTCTACAAAATAAGAAAGAGAATGGAAGAAAAGGGAAAGCTCTGAAATTAGGATATTTCTGATATTTAGATATACTATAGACTCTGGGAGGGAATGGGTTTTGGCAATAATTTTCTTGGAAATCAAACTCCAATGTTACTACTTACCAGCTTTAAAAACAATAAATTACTTCATCTTTCCCTTTGTTTCTTTACTGGTGTTCCTAGGATAATAATTTCTGGCTCCAATTCACTTAAGCTTAAAAACCTACAACAGGGAAGGCAGTGCATCCCTTTGCCAGATAGAACAGATTCCAGAGTGATGGGGCATAAGAAAGAATTTCTAAAGTCCTGTGAATCTTGCTTTGCTAAGAGTGCTTTCATTCATATAATAAGGGTTGGAGCAGGAAATGAGTATGTCTCCCAAAGTTTTTGCAACCCCCTTACCTGACAGACACTGACTTGGATTAAGACCTGATATCTCTTTGAAATGTTTTTTTTTTTTTGCTAATACCCTCAATTTATTTATTTTTTAACATTTTATTTAGTTATTTTTCAAGTACATTTTTTGTCTATTTCTCCCCTCCCATCTCTCCCCGGCCCCTTGCTCCCCACCTCCCTCCCATTTTCACCCCCCTTAGTTCTCGTCCCTGTGTCCATCCTATTTGTTCCTCCAAATCCCTCCCCCTTTTTCCCCTTAAATTCCCTTCCCTCTCCCCTCTGGTCACTGTCCCCTTGTTCTCTATTTCAGTCTCTTTGTTTTTTTTTCTGCTTCCTTGTTTTGTTGTTTACCTTCCTGTTAAAGGTGAGATCATATGGTATTTGTCTTTCAACACCTGGCTTACTTCATTCAGCATAATGCTTTCCAGTTCCATCCA